GAGAGCTTTGTGGTCTGCCCATGATGTCAATAAGGATGAAGGAAAAGACTTGAGTGTGTGTTTGTTTGAAAGCGGTGATAAGAAAAACGAAATGATAGAAAAATCTTTAATTTAATACTTCCAAAGCTTTAGATTATCCATTATTCATGGTTGGCCATCCTCTGATCTGTACCCACTTGAGAAGAGAAAGGCACAGAAGTGGCAGGGTCCAGAGGGAATTGATAGTGCAGTGGTTGTACTTCCTCCACCCAATGTACCTAGGATGCATGGGTTTTAGTGGCCACATGGACAAGTGTTCTGAAGAAAGTTGGGCTTGAACCTGGAAGTATCCCATCTAGGAGTGCTGTTGCCACCTGGAGGCCTATGGAGTGCTCAGAGCTTCTTTGTCAGGAAAATGTGCAGTAGGTGGCCTCTTTTTTAGAGAGAGAGAGAGAGGGAGAGAGAATTTTTTTTTAATAGTTTTCAGTGGACACAACATCTTTATTTTACTTTTATGTGGTGCTGAGGATCGAACCCAGTGCCCTGCGCATGCCAGGCGAGCGCAATACTCCTTGAGCCACATCCCCAGACCCAGTCGGTGGCCTCTTGAGAGACACCTGAAAGAACTCACAACCTTGGCTTTCATATGAGAGTCAGTGTTTGGGTGAATGCCAAAGAGAGGACATTAACAGTAAGGACAGAATCTTCTCAATTCCAGAGGATCTAAAAACAGACTGGAGTATCTGGATGGCTATTGGACTAACTAGTGTCTTAAGTCTATTTTCTGTTGATATGATAGAAACAACAGACTAGTAATTTATAAACAATAGAAGTTTATTTGGCTTATGGTTGTGGAGGCTGGGAAGTCTAAAAGCATCTGACAAGGGCCTTTGTGCGAGTTCATGACATGGTGAAAGGGCAAGTAAGCATGTACTCGCAAAATGGAGGACATCTAGTTGAACTCGTTCTTCTAATTAGGCACCCACTCCCACAAAAAAAAAAAAAACCATAAGTGGATTAATGAGGCAAAGCCTTAATATCTCACCTATTAATACCATCATAACAGTAATTGTATTTCAGTAGGAGCAATTGTATTGAACTTGTAACACCTTGAAAGGTCTGAAAATCTATGGTTCCACCCAAGATGTCCTTAAAGGTCATAGAAAGTATTTTACAGGTGTATTTGGAAAACAAAACAGAAAAGTAACATTTTGTGCTGGTACTCTGAAAACTTCAATTATTCAACAAACCAATTAAATGATCTTTCCATTGTTCTTCATTTATTGACATTTGTCTTTTAATGCACAATTTATTCCTACCATATTTAAAAATTTTAAAGATAATTTAAAGATCTACTCTTCATTTCAAATACAAAATATAAAGCTACCTTGATTCTATATTCATGGTGAGTCTCTTTTTTTGCCTAAAATATAAGAATTTTGATATGAAATTTAATATTTTATCCACATGAATGTTCAAGATTAGGGGACATGTTTTGCTTATCTTTGTGTCCCTTTATCTAATACAGTGCATAGCATAGTGTAGGTACTCAATATATATTTATGAACTAAGCTAAACTAAAGATAATGTTGGAGAACTTCCCAAAAGCTGGAAAGACACTGATTTTCTTGCTCTCTATTATTTCTCATCTAAGCCTTCTATTCTGACCATTTACTAGAAAAAACAAAAACAAAAACAAAACTCTGAGTTTAGCTTTACCTAGATTTATTTTCTTTTGTATATAATATTAATTTAGCATAAATGAATCCTTAAAAGAAAGCATTCTCTGCTGTTTACTAACAAGCTGTATTCATTGAAATACAAAATCAGATTTCCTTTTTTTAATATCTTTTAGTTGTAAATGGACATAATACTTTTAATTTTATTTATTTATTTATTTAATGTGGTGCTGAGGATCAAACCCAGAGCCTCGCGCGTGCTAGGCAAGCATTCTACCACTGAGCCACAATCCCATCCCCCAAATCAGATTTTTATAAAATAAAATTAAATGCCACTAAAGTGCCTATTAAAATTTTGGTATTGGCTTTTTACTCAAAATAAGCAGAAGTTTAAAGATGGAAACTGCTCTTAGGGAACTTACATATTACTAATATAGTTTGTCTAAGACTCTGGAAAGGGGAGGGGAAAGGCATTCCATATGGGTGAAACATTCTAGTGGAATAATTTAGGAAATGGGCTCTGAAGCAATACTGTCTTAGTTTCAACCCTGACTCTATCTTGTCAGTGGACTGTTGTGAGTTACTTGATCTTTTTCTGCTTCTTCTAAACCCTGAATCCATCTTTTCAGTGGCTTTTTGTGAGTTACTTAACTTTTTCTGCCTCTTATACTTCAGGTATAGAAAACATCTATAAGATTCTGAGGATTTAACGAGTTAATATTATACTTGATCCATGAATACGTTCTTATTGTAGTGACAAATAATCACCTACTTAGAATGGCTAGACATAATTTTCCAACTTTATAATGGTGTTAAAGCAGTATGTATTCAGTCAAGACCATATTTTGAATTTTAATCTTTTCCCAGGCTAGCAATACATGGTACAGGTGAGCCACAGCTCCCAGTCAGCCACACCATCACAAGGATAAAAAACTGATGCTAACAATGTACTGATACTAAATTATGATGTGCAGTAGGTTTGGTGTAGAAAATGGATTTTCACTTAAAATGGGTCTATTGGTATGTAACCTCATCATACATTGAAGAACAACCGTATTACTATTATCATATACAAAGAATTGGAGCTAGGTGTTTGAAAGACTCAAAACAGTGGGAATAATTCGTATATTAGAAGAGTGACAAGTTAGAAACAAAAGGGTAAGGACAGATGAAAGAGGCCACTGAATTTCCAAATATTGAGATATTATTATGTTACTAGTGAGCCACTAAACATTTTAAATAGGTTAAACAGTACAATTTTAACAATGTTTTGAATAACTTTGGGTGTGTAAAATGACTTGGGAATAGGGAAAAATAAAAGACTGAAAGAATAGAATAATATTAATAGTAACTTTTATTAGACACTTTCTTGGAACTTTGTAAGATATTTGCAAGAAACACTAATTTTAAATATTATTACTATGCTACAGGCAATGTGATATATGGTGTATTTGATTTAACTCTTAAAACAACACTAAGGATAATACTCTGCTGAACTTCGTCTTACTTATGAAAAAACTGAGAATCAAACTGAAATGAATTGCCTAAGACAGAGCTAGTAAATGGTACTAAACATGATTTATATTCAAGGTGTCTGACTTCAAATACTATAGTTCAGTTGGAAACTGATAAATGAAAAGATTTACACACAAAAAAAGACAAGCCATGATTTTGTGTCTTACTGGAAACAGGCTAAAAGAAAGGATTATCAGATAACTGAGCTTTCAAGCCTTGAGAGTCACAAGAGAAAAATGACCTCTCTGTGTGAGCATATATTACATTAACTATTGTGGGAAAGCTGTTCAGAGCAAAAGGAAATTAATTGTGGCTAAAGTCCTCAAGGACACTTTGATGAAAAATGCCCTAATGGTGGCAAACTTGAGCAGAATGAAAGCAGGCATATGGCATTACTGGGCAGAAAAGAATATACATATGATATTAAAGTAAAAGAATAAATGGTGGTAGACAGTAGTAATAAGGAGAAATTTAGTTACTTGCTGTGAGTTCAAATCACATTTCCATCTGTTTTATTAAACTGCTATTGTCTATAAATGTCTCTGACTTAGAAGATACTCAGTAATAATTTGGGAGAAAGAATGGTAAAGATATGTCAGATGGCTTTGGTTGGATTCGATGTATTTAGAAGTAAGACAACATTTAAAGGTTTATATTTGATACGACTATCAGAATGAGATTGAATTTTCCTTGTCTCTAACTTAACTCTTTCCAGACAGTTAGAACAGATAGCTCCACTCTTACTAAAATTTTTTAGGTGTTGATCCCTAGCTGGAAAAATTTATGTGAAAACTCCCAAATAGATTTAAAAAACAAACAAACAACAACAACAAAAACAACCACAAAACCTTGGATATTGAACAAATGCTTTGATATTGCTTCTCTATGTACATGAGAACACAATAAAATAAACAGCTGTAGGATCGTCAAATGCACAACATCAAATGCAGAAGATAATCTTTTAACATTCTAAAACGAGTGTTCCCCAATAAAATCGTCTGTAACTGTATATTATTCTTACTAAGGTCCTGCGGCTTTAGAACTGGTTTTTTGATTCACGAAAGCAGTGTGGGTCTAGACAGAAGTGAGGCTCTGGGCCTTCGGATGGGTAAGGAAGCACCAATTGATCCGCAATGCGCTTGCCCAAACCGCAGCACCTAGCTCTGCAAACAACGCAAATGGGGGCGGGGGGAGGGGGAGGTGTGTGTGGGAGGAGCGCGTGGAGGAAAACAAGAACCCAAGGCAGAAACCAAGAGCACGCTGATTGAAAGGTTGTATCCAGCACAGCAGCTTAGATCGCAGGCAAATCCCAGCATCCCCGCCTCCCACGGGAGCCAGTGAGGAAGAGACAAGTTCCCACGGCCAATCACATCTCAATACAGCCTATCACCCTACTGAATTCTGGGACTTGTGGTTTTCACGTGGCAACACTACATCATGGTGGTTAAGGCTAAAAGCCACGCACGCGTCCGTATTAAAACGAGAGCTCCATTTTATGTCTTCTGTTGGTCTCTAAGCTAGTTCCCTATTATTATTACTCCCAGACCTCACACGTCTTAGGAGTCATAAACGTTTTCTGTCAATGTCATACGGAAGAAAACATTCAACCTATTTTCTGAAAATATACTCGTCCCACTAGTCTTTCGTCCATTAACCGTCGCCCTTGAGTCTCGCGAGAACAGCCCCGTTGAATCATTGTCATGCCTCCTGAAGGCGGTTCACACGAAGACTGACATTGGCTTCGGCCAACAGAATTGCCCTTTAACTAGCCCCTCCACAGCGTGCCTGGAGAGGCCTCGTGAACTCTGACCTCAGCTTTCCGTAGCGTCCCGCGTTTGCCACCCCCGCCCGCGGAGCGAAGGAGGCGGGTTTTGGCCTCTTGCCCTAGGGAGCGAGTGCGGAGGGAGTGGGAGCGAGACGGCCCGAGTGGAAGTGTCTGGCTTCCTCCCGTAGAGGCCCTGCTGTACGCCCCGCCGCCCATGTACGCCGCCGTCGTTAGGCCGGCCCCCTAACTCTGCTTCCCCCGGGACAGGCTCACGTCTCTTCGGGGAGGGGGCATCCTGTAGAGGCGCCTCCAGTCAGCGCCAGCGTCGCTCTGCGACCCTGGAAGCCGGAGCCGCGGCGAGAGGAGGAGCCCCATCAGCGGCGGCAGCGGGCAGCAGCAGCCACAGCGCCAGCGGGCGGGATCGAGGCCGTCAACATGGCGAGCGCTTCGTACCATATTTCCAATTTGCTGGAAAAAATGACATCCAGCGACAAGGACTTTAGGTGAGGTCGAAATCCGATTCTAACCCACCTCGGGGGTCCCCCATCCACGGCCCCGGCCTGCACGCCGGCCTGGCCCCACCCCTTCGGCCTTGGCCCGGCTGCCTCTCTTCCCCGAGGTTTTCAGCCCACCGCTCGCTCCCGCTTCCCCGCGGGTCTCCTCCAGCCCCCGCCCCCAGCCTTTCCTCTAGGCGGTTGTCCGCCGCGGCTCCGATCCCTTCCTTCTGGGTCTCTAAGCGTCCCCGCCGCATTCCTTGGCCCCGGCGACGTGGTTCCCGCGTCCCCGGCAGTGTGGAGGCCCAGAGTCACCCAGTACTGTAGTGGAGGGAGTCGCTCTAGGCGCGGAGACCCGGCGGCTAGGCCTACTCGCCGGCCCTCCGAGACGCTAGGCCTCCGAACGCGCCCGGGCCCTAGCTGCTGCCCGCTCAGGGACGCAGCATCTGCCCGCTCTCCCACAGATGTGGACCTGGCTGCGTTCAGCTGGAACGATGAACTTTTTTGAGCTCTTCGCTGATTGGGTTATGTACTCTTTCTTCGGATAATGCTTTTTTGAGAAGGGGGAGGGGAGCTGGGATGAAGGAAACTTGGCCGGTAGGGTTTTCCCGCCAGCATCTTGTCAGTCTTCCTTGTCAGGTGAAACCCACGCAAGATCACGGAATTTCTGAAAGTCTCGTATCCTTAGATCCAAAATCACTGCCAGAGGGTTGAATTGCTGAACCTTAAACCACGCAAACGAATCTTCTTGAAAGACGGGCTGGTGAACATGAAGCTTTAGTACAGTAGTTCTGATCCAGGAGACTTGTACTGTTGATTTCAAATTCTTGTAACATGCACATTTAAGATTTGTTATATTTTCACATTTTTTTTTTTTTTTTCACTCTACAGGGATTGTTACTTTCCTTACTGCCTGTCTTATATTCACAAATAAATAAGCTCTCCATCAAAAAGAAAAAAAGCTATTGATAACCTAGGTTTTCTTCTCTTGTGCTATAGTAATTGTAATTAGCGTTCTTTTAAAAAGAACCGGCAATCTTCAATTAAAATTATGGGTAAAGAACTTCCTTTTCTACTTGTATGAACAATAAGTTTTAACACCTGAAAATGTGTCTCTTGGGAAGAAATTTTCCAATTTCTGAAAAAAGGAACCATGAAAAAAATCAACGATCGTGTTCCAAGACAAATTTGAAAGTTTTGCTACCAAGAGAGCTTTTAAGTGTTCTATTTGTAATTTCTAAAAACTAATTTGCTGAAGATAGTTTAGTGCCCTGTTTGGGTATTTTGGAATTTTAGATTTGTGTAGTTCTGGGACCAAAATCAAGATTATTGAAGGAAATAAAATTTTTATGTATTATAGGATGGGGTTGTAGTTCAGTGGTAGAGCGTTGACCTAGCATGTGCAAGGCCCTGGGTTGGATCCTCAGCATCACATAAAAATAAATAAAATCAAGGTATTGTGTACAATTACAATTAAAAAACAAATATTAAAAAAATTTATGTATTGTTTAAGGATTGGGATGCTGTTTGATTCCCTTTGGAGTTTTGCTTTTTCACAATTCGAGTTTTGAAATTTAAATAAATGTTTGAATGGAACATACATTACATACATACATACATACATACATACCTTTGGATCATATAAGGTGTGCGGTGTGATTTCCTCATACCTTATGTCAGATTGGTTATTCCTATAAAAGTACTAAATTTCATTCTGATATTAATTTTAGTCTAAAGGTAGTGCTTCCACCATACTAATACAATTTTGTTCAACTAGACTGAATCAGATATGGATAATGTGTTTAGGAAGAGTAAAGAAATCATGTCATATGGTGATACCATGGATGTGATTATTGATTGAAGTTCCCTTATATTTCTGGCAAAAGAAAGTAATGCATGTATGCCTGAGTTTTTGTTTTCTAAATAAACTATATGAAAGAAATAATACTTTGATGTTCAACTATAGTGATTGCTGAACTTGATAAGAATTATCTACTTACTTGGGTTGGAATGCATCAAAACTTTGCTTAGAGGATTGGTTTATTGATATAGTTCTAATGGTTGGTGAATGCTATTAAATGTATCTTGAGGAACAATAAGTGACTTTCAGTAATTTGGCATCTTTAACATTTTTATTAACTGTTTTAAAGACTTTCTTGTAATATGCTTTAGCCATCTGTTAACAAACAGGTCCTTGGAACTAAAGCACCTTGTGTATTAATTAACAGACATTTAAAGATTAAAATAGCATTTGAAGTTTTTTGAGGATTTTTCTCCATATTTTCTATATAGGCATTTATTTTACATTTTTTAAATGATGCTTTGTTCACATAGAAATTTAGTTATTTTGATGTAAGTACGGGAATCCTGATTACATATTTTAAAATAATTAGTGCCAAGAGGATCTTGAGGGCAAGGATAATTAACATTATTGGATGCCTAACTAACGTGTCTAAAGTACTCTATCTTGTACAAAGGAAAGCGGAAGAAAATAGTGCTGCCAAAATGAAGAAAGTTCTATTTTCTTGATAGACTCTAGGAGAATTTTACCCAGTCACAAGATAGGAGTTCTAGTCATGCACTATTCTTTGTTGTGAACTGTGAGATCTTGGGCAAGTTACTTGAGATTACATTTTCACTTTTGAGAGGCTTGCACAGGTATAATTACAAAAGGTCTCTTATGGGTCTGAAGTTTCAGGTTTCTACTTAGCTAACTACATAGCTTGTTAATGAAGAGAAGGTAGAGAAACATGCAAAATTTAGAATTTTGAAATTCCAGCATTTTAAAATCTTTTTGTAGATAAAAAACTTACCAGTTTTTTTTTTAATTTTATTATTTCATGTGTTAATATCCTACCATCAAATAATGAAGAATACTAAGAGTTTGGAGAAATGGAGAAGCTTTGGGAAGAGAAAAGTCAAGACTGGAACCTTTTAATAAAATGGGACATTAGTGTGTATCCTAATAATGACCTATTAGTCTTAATTTTTTGGGGAAAAATCTTTAAAATAATAAATGCTAATTCAGATAACTCTTTAAAATAAAAATGAAGAAACATTCTTTAGGAGAGTACCTTAGAATAGTTCTCCTCACTTAAAGAAAACACCTTCTGCTTCTCCCTCCACACCTAGAAAACCTTTATATCAGTATGTTTTGGTGATTAGGTGATTGTGTAGATAACAGAGTGAAAGCTTTGAGGTAAATGAGCCCTGTGAGTGCGTAGTCCATACGTGACTATTAATAGTGAGCATTCAGTGGGTGGAGGCAACTTTTCATCTGCTCACTACCAACTTAATTAAAGTATTGCAAAGAATCAAAAGCTAAGGAAAATATTCACTTGTCTCTCTGTACATGTATCTTTCTGCTTACTGTGAACGTCATATACTTTATTTATTCTTCATAAGTAGTAAAAGTGGACAGTTACTGTATTACCATTAAGGAAACTGAAATTTGGCTTAGTTATTTCCCCTACGTCATGATAGATTTGGGATTTATAGAACCTCTTTACCCATGAACTCTTATTTCCTGCCCCCTCACTAATAAATGTTTATTTAAATAAAACATGAAGATATATAACCTTTCAGAATCACATAATCTGCCCATGAACTCTTAATTACCATGCTATGCTACTTCTCTAGAGTTTTAACTAGTGGCATTATAAGTCAGACCTTAAATTTCAGTTGCCTCTAAAATTAGGCTTATGGAATATTTTATGCTGGAAAATACTTTTAATAATTCTTTGAGAGGAACTTCAGAAAGATCCATTGCTTGCCCTTAGTGAGCATACATGTTTGCTGAGTGGTCAAGACACTATTATAAAAAGATAAATTATACCATGGCAATGTGTAAGTGTCAGGCGTTAAGTGGCAGAGAAGATTAAAGTAAGGAGATTCATATTCATGGAGAGATCTTAGTAAGGTCTTGAAATTCTCAGTAGAAAATGTGAGAACAAGTATGCAAGCACACTACAAAATTTCACTAGGCGAAGGGGAGAAAATCTTGACTGTAGATGGGCAGGTATTCAGAAACTTGTTAAGGACAGAAACCTTGTCTTACTGAACTGAAACCTGTAGAATTCTTTAGCCTTGTGGTTCTTCAGTAAGTGCTTATTAGATCCAGAGTTAAGAAAAAAAGTGTGTGTGTGTACACACATATATAAGTATATACACATATATAAAAGAATTGTAAGAAATCTCTGTAATAAACCATTGTAAAATCATTTTGTTTAAATACCTCTCTCTACATCTTAATCACTATTATAGAATACGAGTATTTCTCAGTTGCAGAATGGTTTATGATGCAAATTTGTTAAGGTGTTTTGGATATTTGAAGGCATTTTCTCTCGAAAAATGTTTAAAATGCTAAAAAAAAAAAAAATTTGGACCTGTTAAGGAATCATAAGCAAAACACTGTTTGAGCATTAACAGGAAATACCAATTGAAATTATTTTGACTACTTGGAGAAAATCAGGTGTCCTGAGAAGAAATAGATTTGTAGAGATATTATATTAATAAGGTGATTCCTGGCACATTTTAAGTACTTAGCAGATTTATGGCAGCAACTTACTTGATTTTACTCAACATGGTTTTTCTATATATAGATACACTACAAACATTGTCAGCAAAGGTTAGGATTCACTATTGAAGGAGGGAGGGGGATGTTATAGAGGATACTTGGAAGAAGAATAAAAATTAGTTTTATTTACTTGAACATCACTAAGACTACTTACTGTAAGCTAATTTATAGCCTTTCAGGAAATAAATGAGAAAAAGTTAAAACAGTGTTGTGTGCTCAAAGGCTTTGAAATTTGAAAGATAATTGGTTTACTGGGTGATGCAGTTGGCCCATATCACCTAGATTTCTGTTGTAATCAAGGGTGAAATTGTGTTTGGATAAGAGGAGAAAGATTATGGTGGAAGTTACTCAGCGTGCAGTCAAGACATCTACTTTTACTGTGTTCCTGCTTCTCTACATTGGATTTACTAAAGATAAGTTTTCCCTTCAAAGA